AGTTATGAAATTTTACACAAAGATCTCTTATATGAAATAATGACTGGGTGCAGTGGCTCATGCCTATAATCCCAAAATGCTGGGAGGCTAAAGCAGGAAGATTGCTTGAGCTCAGGAATTTGAGACCAGCCTGAGCAAGAGCAAAACCCTGTCTCTACTAAAAATAGAAAAAATTAGCCAGACATGGTGGCGCACACCTGTAGTATCAGCTAATTAGGAGGTTGAGGAGGAGGATCACTTGAACTCAGTAGTATGAGATTACTGTGAGATAGGCCGATGCCATGTCACTCTAGCCTGGGGAACAGAAAAAAGAAAAGAAATAATCTAAAATTCTTATTAAAACAATATTTTGTCAACTCTGAGAATTTGAGAGTGTCATTTTGTCACCCTTGGTAGACATCTTAGCTTACAGCAACCTCAAACTCTTGGGTTCAAGCTATTCTCTTGCCTCAGCTTCCCCAGTAGCAGGGATTACAGGCACCTGCCACAACACCCAGCTATTTTTAGACTTGAGATCTTGCTCTGGCTCAGGCTTATCTCAAACCCGTGAGCTCAGGCTATCCAACCATGTCAGCCTCCCAAGTGCTATGATTACAGGTGTGAGCCACCACACCTGGCCAACTCTGAGAATTCTGTCAAAGGAACAGAAAAATCTGTGTCCACATTGAGTAGCTGCAAAGAACTATTAAACATGCCGTGGGTAATGTAGCAGGCACCTGGGGTCTACAGAACACACTCTGAGCTGTCTTTCTCAGCAACCTCCACCATCCACATCCCCATTGCAATAAAGGGTATTCACTCAGGCTCAGGGCAACTGTCTACCTAGCAATAAGGATCATGTCCAGGACTGGGAAACCACTTCATCTAAATAGTATCACAAGTGGTCCCCATGAAGACACACTCTCAAAAGAACCTTTAGTGTGGGGCTTAAATTTTTTTCAAGGCAAGTAGGAGAATGACAAAAAACCTGGGACTGGAGAGAGTAAAATGATTCAAAGCCTAGTTTTGTTACTTTTAGCTGTGGGACGCTGAACTTGGTGTCCCTCAATTCCAGTGTCCTCTCTCAGGTCTATAGTGGGGAAATTACCATATCTACCTGCCAAATTTTTTGAAAGGATTAAAAGAGATCTCGAATGTGAAGGCACCCAGCATTGAGCCTGGCACATAGCAGCCGGTCAGATCTTGTCTGTTTATTCCAGAACACAATTTTACTTGATCACCAGCACCCTGGACAGAGACATGCTTTGGGACACGCCTAGTTACTGTAAGCCTCCACTTGTGCTCTTACCTTGGTGAGAAACAAAGTGTTTCTCTCTCTCCAACTTCAAGCTATTTTAAATTTCTTCTGTTAAAGAACTTCAAACCACCAAAAAGGCTCTAACAAGCAATTTAAGAGTTAAAAGTTAAGTTTAACGCAACACTTTTCCACTAGGTGGTGCTGCATGTTAAAACTTTCCCGACATTTACTCCAGAACGTTAACTTCTAAGGCAGGAAAATTGCCTGAAAGCCCCTTGAAGAGGAAACAAAACCCGATGTGGCTCCAAAGAGGATAATTTAATCCTAATTTGCCCATGAGTGAAGCCGCTGACAGGGAGCCGCGGTCACCGCGACCGCCCGGGCTCCCCCGCGGCGTGAGGTCCCAGCAGCACCTTTAATCATCAAGCACATCACAGAAGAGCTGTACAACCATTTTCCATGTCTGCCTTGTGTTTCTGTTTACCAAAACTCCTTCTCGTTTGTGTCCAGGTAGCAAGTTCGTAGGCTATGGCAGAATTTTCAAGCCCAGGGAAGGGTAGCAGATGCCGCAGATACCCTAGTCTCCGACCTGCGAGCGGGACAGGTGCCCAGCGCCAGAACGCGGTGTCAACGCCGAGCGCGCGGGCCCGGCCCACTCTGGGGCCTCCGGGTTCCTCCCTCCCGCCCCTCAGCCGGCCCCGCGGGGCCCGCGCTCCTCCCGCACACTCCCGTCACTCACCATGGCCACGAGCCTCCGGCTCTGGCCCCGCAGCGCCGCCAACAAGCGCCGCGTCGCCCCCGGCGCCCGGAGCGTCGCCGCCATGGCCGCCGGCCGAGGGCTGCCCGGCGCGCTGCCTGCCCGGTGCCTGCTCCGGCGCCGGCCCCACGCGGCTCCCGCTGCCCCCGCCCCGCCGCGCAGGCCCGGGTCGCGAAGGCCTCAGGGGCCCCGGTGGCCGCCGACTCTACGGGCCTCCGAGCGGGCGCAGCGTGGCAGGCCCCGCAGGCGCGCCGCCCTGGGCTCCGGCCTCTGGGTCGCTCTACGTCGCCCCCGCCCCATGCCGTCTGGTTCGGTCAGTGTCTGGGCCGGGGCAGCTGATCAGCCCTCCTGTCCTGCAGTTCGGGGTCCGGAATCCTTCCCTCAGACCCGCAGCTCACGCTCCCGGGCTGCGGTGCGCGGGCGGGAGGATGTCGCGGGCAGGGACAAGGGACCTGAGCTACGGGCGCTTGGGGACCATCCCCATTGTCGTTAATCCACTACTCAACGGCGGACAGTAACCACAGTGGTTAGTAAGAGGGGCTCGTCAGTCAGCGGCCCAGGGTTCGAACGTACGCTCTGTACAGTCCCTGCTTAGCTGCCAGGTGCTTAAGCCAAGTGGCTCGTCCATATTTGCAGAGACAAAATAGTCTGGAAAATGTGGTTTTACTACTGTAACTCTCTAAAAAAGTGGCGGTCTCATTAGGATTCACTCAGGATGACCACTCTGGAGATCGGTGCGAACAGATTTAGATAAGCATTCTCTGGTATATTTGGGGGCAGATACTATATGTGTATGAATATATTTTTTGCCTTTTTTTCCAGATGTAGTTGACATACCATAAAATTAACTATTTAAAGCATAGTTTTTAAAATTATGTACATGTGTTTTTTTACTAAAGTAAGCAAATATAAGCAGTTTTGCAGAAGACATAACAAATTTTTAAAGAATGATAAATCATATTAAGTTCAACCTAGCAATTATTGGCAGTCCATCCAAAAGCTTAGAAAAAATGGACTTTTGGCCTGACCTACCTTCTTCCTGTTTGCCCACTTGCAAGTTGTAACTATTTCAAAAGCAAAATTCAGGCCAGAGTCACTGTGGAGGTCTTGACAAAATGGCACTGGTCTCAAGGCACTCTTGGTTTCTTTTGCCTAGTGCCAACGGCAGACATATACTAGGTGTGAAATAAAAGGTTATTATTTCCCATATTTACATTGGGTGTTTATGATCACAAAAAAAATACTCCTCTTTAATGTACACAGTTATGCTATAAGAAATAAAAAAAACACTAAAGTCTGGAAAAAAAATACTCCTCAAATTTGCTCATAATGTGAGAACTGAAAAATGTAGTATTAGTAACCCTTCATTCACTTTGAGTAAGTTTACTTTCATAGTTTTCCACCACTGTGTGAGACTGTTGCATCTCAGATCTAGTCTTGAAAGCAACAAAAGGATGCTAGGCCCCCAGGGAAGTCATATCCAGCCAACAGCAGCTGTGAATGCTCTCTGCTCATACAGAGCTTCCCAATTAACAGGTTTTAAGTCCTTTAGCAAGGATTTACTGGCCACTTCCTCCGTAGTGGATACCATGTTTGACTTGTGGTAGTTTACCTGGTTCTGGACCACTTCTTCCCCCCCTCAGCTTCCCTTCCCCTCAAAACTAGTTTCTTGGCTAATCTCTCTGTGCGTGAACCTCTTTTTCAAGGAAAAGCTCTGCTCCATATTTCCCTCCAGGAGAATACCACGTAGCTGGCTGGTCTTGGTTAAGGTGACCAGATGTCCCGCTTTTGGCGGGACAGTCCCAATTTCCAATAATTTGTTCTGTATCTCACGGTGTTCTTAAAAAGTCCCGATTTTTGGAAAGAATGCATGACAAGCTAGGGAAGGAACAGCGGGAGAATGGGAAGGGAATATGCGGTTCAGCCGCTGAAAAGGTTAATGTAACTCCATTTGGGAATGAAGAGGTTAATATAACTTCATTTGGAAATGAAAAGGCTAATGTAAACTCCCTACTCCCCTTCTGGGCAAGGTATCAGAAGGAGACTGGCTCCCTCCCTCCCTTGCTTCTGGGCAAGGACAATTAGCTCAGAAGGAGCCAAACTGTCTGGAATAAACAAGTAGTCCCCCTCCTCTAGAGTAAGGTGACCAGACGTCCCGCTTTTGGCAGGACAGTCCCAATTTTTAACAATTTGTCCTGTGTCCTGCGGTGTTTTTAAAAAGCCTCGATTTTTGGAAAGAATGCACAACAAGCTAGGGAACACAGGAGAACAGGAAGGGAATATACGGCTGCCATGTGGCTATTTCGCCAGGATATGTGTTTTATATAATTTTTGTTAATTTTATAATGTTAAACTGTAATAATAACAAATAGTTGTTGAGAACTGATTATCGAGAACTGCTTATCAAAGTTTGCATTGTTGTCAGACCCCATCCCCCAGGCCCCACCCCACCCCCAATGGTGTCCCGCTTTACCAATGTTAAAATCTGGTCACCTTAGTCTTGGTGAAGGCTCAGAAGCAAAGGCATGGATCTGCTAGTTATTCTGAGAGCTTTCCCTCACCCCCTACATGAGAATAGGGCCCTATTATAAAACAAAAGGCATGAAAATTCTATCTTTGATGGAATAATTCCCACTATAGGGATTCATCCCCAAGGAAATGAGACTATATGAAACAGTATAATCCAACAAAAGTAGACAGGTTAGGTAGGTAATGCTGAATCTATTCAAAGCCCTACTTATGGCTAAAGTTAGGAAAACAGTTACTAACAGTGAAATACTTACCATTATTTATCATTTGTTCAGCAAAAAAAGGCCAAATTGCTAAATTATAGGTGTATTATGACTATGGAAAGCGCACACACACACACACACACACACACACACACGGAAGAAAGACTGGAGGGAAATGCATTCAATGCATTTCTGTGGTGCACAGACAAAGCAGGCTGCCATCCCCCTAGATTTCTAAAGCAGCGTTTTCCAACCTTTTCATTTCACGGCACACTTGAACCTATAGTTAGACTTCCATGGCACACTTAACTTATATTGACAAAAAAAAAAAAGAAGAGTATAACAAAGAATATACTTACTATGCTCTGAACTTCTTTTGAAAATAGTGATCTTTTAAAAATCTTCACAATACATGGCTCAGCGCCCATAGCACAGTGGTTATGGCACCAGCCACATATACCAAGGATTGTGGGTTAGAACCCGGCACAGGCCAGTTAAACAACTGCAACAAAAAAATAGTTGGGCGTTGTGGCAGGCACCTGTAGTCCCAGCTACTTGGGAGGCTGAAGCAGGAGAATCGCTTAAGCCCAAAAAGTTTGAGGTTGCTGTAAGCTGTGACGCCACAGCACTCTACCGAGGGCAACATAGTGAAACTCTGTCTCAAAAAAAAATTTTTTTTTACGACACAACTAAGATTCCCCTCATGGCACACCAGTTAAAAATCAGTGCTCTGGCTCGG